CGCCCAGGTGGATGGAGAGGGCTTATTCACTTACCAAGGGCTGTATTCTTCCCTGCTAGGAGTTCTCCAGCTTAATGACTTTGCAGATCTCCTAGCTGCTGGGGGAGGTGGAGGGGAATTTTTTTGGGTATGTTTGTGGCTCAAAGAATGCACAAATAAATCGAGGTTGCTGACGACTTAGGAGTATGTAAATACACTTTCGATTTGCTGACCACTGTGTTTCACTTCTGCGGGAAAATGGCTTTGTCCCCGAATGCAGCATATCAGAGCAGAGGTTCCCAGTATTTGAAGATTGGCTCTCCTGTCTCAGTCTTGGCATGCGTTGTTCTGTTCTTTGTTGGCTGGATGCTGCCTCTGACATTGCTCTTTTGTACCACCCTTGAGATGATGGTGCAGAGCTCTGGTGGATGTAACCAGATGCTGGCCTGGCAGTCTTGCTGGGAGAATTATAATTAGATGTGGCGTTCTCTTAGGATCTATAAAGTGCCCTCTGTCCCCACTCCTGTGGGTTACTTACCTGTTGTCATAGTATTAGACCATCTTGTGTTTTGAAATGAGAAGGAAGAGGTGTCCAGATGGCCTTATAACTTCTCTGGAGGGCCCCTCATAGGTAGCAACACATAAGTAGAAACCTGAAAGCTTTATCGGAGTTTCTTGTTTTAATCTTCCAGTACACGAGGGTCTGGATCCCTGACCCTGATGAAGTGTGGCGCTCAGCTGAGTTAACCAAGGACTACAAGGAGGGAGACACGAGCCTCCAGCTCAGACTGGAAGATGAAACGGTAAGTGCAGGTGGTGGGAGCGGGGAGCACAGGGCTGGCTGGTAGATGGTGGGCTTGAGTTTCCCCTGCAGACTGGAGCCGCTGAGTCCCTGGCATCTTTCTGTTGCTACTGGCAAACTGTAAAACTGTGCTGTGGCTGTCCCATAAGTGCCCACTGGTGGTGTAGCTAAGAGATCGCTGGTGGCCAAGGCAAGAATCTGCTCAGTAGAGTAGAAGGAGGGTTCCCTTCATGGGGCTGTGGTGTCAGTGGGAGGTGACAAGGAGGCACCATAAGAGACAGTGCACGGTAGAGTGGTCAGAGCACTGGTTCTGGACCCCAGCCTATCTGGGGATTGGGATCCTGGCTCATCCATTGTTAGCTCTGTGCCTTTGGGTGAGTTAGCACTCTTTCTGTACTTGTTACTTCATCGGTTACAGGGGAGTGAAAGTTGGTCTAGGGGGCTGATGAGAATAAAATGACCTACTATGTGACATGTCCTTAGAATAGTGCCTGGCACACAGCACTCCACATGTGTTAGCTGTGCAGCACGAATTCTTTAGTAGTTGACTTTCATGTGGCTTCATTCAGAAGGAAGACAAGGTGGTTAACTGAAATCTTCCTCCTGTACTGTCCGATTTTCTGCTTTTCATGAGCCTTTTGTGTGACTACCCTTCTCTGTTGTGTGCATTCTACAAATACTTAAATACTTGCACTGTGCTGGGTCATGGAGGTATATGTGGCCCTGTCATTTGCGGGAGGTCACGGAAGTCCAGCAAAGTGTTGTGACACATGGCATTAGGCACAGAAGCTTGTGGATAAGGTGTGGGGTGAGGTGAAGGTGTTGAAGGGGTCGTGGGAAGGAGCCAGCAGAAGACTGGGTGGGGGGTGGGGAATGAGAGAACAGAGTGTCCCAGCGGAAGTTGTGTGTGCCAGTGGCCCCAGGCTGCGGTGTGTTCCCTTGGGGTGTGTTGAAGGAAAGGAGGCCTGTGTACCTGGAAGGACTTGAAGGCAAGGGGTCAGATGGGTGGCCTGAGGACACAGGCAGAGGTCATTTGGGCTGCGGGGTTTACAGTGGGGGAGACCGGGAGAGAAACAAGTTTTTGAAAAAACAAAAACACTTTTGAGTATCGTTGACACACAAGGTTACATCAGTTGCAGGTGTACAGCCTAGTGATTGGACAAGTTTATACCTTATGCGCTGGGTGTTCTGCTAAGTGAAGGAAGTCCTACTGACCGAGATGAATGGCACGTGAAATCACTCCATTGTTTTAGATTCCATATGAGGAACAGGTTTTGAAGGAAGCGGCAGGAAGAAACCAAGAAGTGGCTCTGGGATGGGTTAAGTTGGAGGGGCTGCATAGAGCAGGCATTGCTTGGGGGGAAGGCTGGCGGCACTGGTGTGAGACGTTTGCACCATGTCTTTTAGCCTCTGATCATTTACTGTCTGGCCGTTTCTTCCTTCAGGCATCTTGGTCTTGTCTTTCTAGTTAGTGATGACCTACTTGAGAAATGGACCTTGTCTTACACTTTGCCCACATAGTACCTACTCTGGTTGGTGATTAACTCACTGACTAGTAGAAAGAGGGAACTCTCCTCCTGCCATCTTGTTTGCAACCCCCTCCCCAAGCCTATCACTTGGTAAAACTGGGACAGTGAGTTTGTTAGATTTTTTACACCAAGGTGTGCATGCCTCACCTTTCCCTTCCTGGCAGGGAGGGTTGAGGCAAGAAAAAAAAATTCCCAGCAGATGGAATCCTGTTGATCGTGTTGAATAACATCCCACACCACGACCAAAACAAAATGAAATTAGTTTCTCCCACTTGAAGGCTGTAACTTCTATTCCAACAGATTTCATTTTAGTTGATCTTTTAAGTGGGTGGGTGTTTTTAAAGGGTTATATGGAGGTAGTGAAGAAGGATCTGCTGTGCCGCTGAAACAGAGCAGATGTGTGCCTCCTCAGCCGAAAGTCTGCCCAGCATGACTAATCCCAGCAGCTGCCCGGGAGCCCCCCACCCTGCTATGTGGCCAGTCAGCGTGCAGTCAGAAGGGATGCCTGGAGCTACACATGAGCAGCTCTTGAGAAATCATGGACTCTGAACACCTAGCTCTGTCCAGGTCACTCGCAAACTGCTTTGTCCAGAGCGGGCTCTGAGTGGTCTCTAGGAGTGACTAACCTGAGCTGTGGAACAGAGGCAGGAGGGCAGAAGTTGGAGGACTGGCCTCTGCAAGCTTGGAGAACATCTACTCTGCAGCTGAGACCTTCCTTGATGTACGAGGCTGGCTGGAAAATCCACCTGGTGGTGTTCCCACCATCGCCCTCCTGTCCAAGAGTGTGGGTTTAACTGCGGTGGCAAAGGAGGAAAAGAAATTCTATTCTGGAGAACAGTGTTCTTAATTCCCAGCTTCTACCTTACTGCTCCTCTGTGTTCTGCTCAAGGTGGTCAGGCTCCTTGGTGTTCTCGAAGAGGTTTCTTCTTGGCTGTTGCTTGCTTGTTGTTGTGGTCAAGTACACAAAACATAAAATTGACCATGGTAACCATTCTTAAGTTCACATTTCAGTGGCATAAAGTACTTCCACGTGGTCGTGCCCACCATCACCACCATCCATGTCCAGAACTCTTGATCTTGCAAAACCGAAACTCCCCACTCGCCTGCAGCCCTGATAGCTCTACTCCACTGTGTCTCTCTCAGTTGGGCTGCTTTGGGAACTCCTAGAAGTGGAATCCTAGACTATTGGTCCTCCTGTGTCTGGCTTGTTTCACTGAGCACAATGTAAGGTATTTTATATTTAAGCCTGTGGGAAACTTGTTGGAAAAGGATAGTGTCATCTCTTCTCCCCACAGCTGTGATGGGTGCAAGGTATCTAGGTGTGCCGACCCGTAGCACAGTGCTGCCTTTACTGGATCAAGCGTCTTGGTGTAGACTGACCTTGATGATGCATGTAGCTCCCTTGTTTGCCTCGAATAGAATAGAGAGATACCAGGCAGCCTTCCCTTGCCGGCCTCCGCCTCCCTTACAGACTCCTGCCCTCTAGTGGCAGGGAAAACTTCCCGTTTCCATGGTTTTGCTTTTCAATTGTTTCTGACTGGAGTTGCTATCCAGTGTCCTGCAGCCACTTGGTGGGGTGTACTCCCTGTACCCAAGGTCCTGCGGTAGTGTGCGTGAGAGGAAGACGGGTACACGTGAGCCTGAAGGAGGGGGGCCGTGTGGCACCTGTGTCTCGGCACACCCAAGCCCTGGAACGTAGGTGGGGCCAGGGCGAGAGGATGGATGTAAGCCTGTGTGTGTTTAACAGTAAAGGCCTACTTTATCAAAAATAAAGTAAAACTGACCTTTCTAATTTTTGGAAATGAAAACCTTTAACGTCTTAAAGATATATTTGTAACTCTCTACTCTTTAGTCTCCATGTAGCTGCCATTGTCAAGAACCATGATCTTGAAACATGTTGTACCTCTACCTATATATAAACAAATTGAAGAGGGCCGTGAATTGTTGAGTATTGCAAACTACTCACGTCACGTTGCTGTGGTTGCAGATACTGTACTAATTTGTGAGCGCCTGTGGAGAAGCCGGGAATTAGACACGGGGTGTGGCTGGGAAATGAGATCTCCTTGTGTGAATTTTGTTTGCAGTTGTGCCCTCTGAAAGGAGAGATCAACACGCTCGTTGGCCTGTCCTCTCTCCGCCTCTTTCCTGTCCGCTCCCTCCCCACACCCCCGAGCAGTGTGTGTCTCTGGCATTGGTGGTGGTACAGTTGGCAGACCTTCGGGGCACCTGGATGCCGTTACCTTCCTTCAGGGATGTGTGGCAAGAGGCGTGCTGAGACATTTTCCCCAGGGGCCAAGGTGTTTGTCCCGGGAGTGTACGTTGAGGATGGCAGGGCTCAGATGTGTCCCCACGGAAGCTTGATCCCAAGTGGCAGCACGATCGTGTGTTGTTCAGTAAGCTTCTATTTTGTGTTGAAGATGATGGAACCCTTGAAGATGAAAGGCCCAGTGAAAGGCCCCTCCTACTCAGGTCGAAGGACAGGGCCAAACGTGCCCGGCTGTTAGGAGATGACAAACTTGGTTCTTTATGGCAGGAAGCAAATGTTGCAGAAGAACGAGGACCCCTGCACTTGACCGTTGATGCCCTCAGCCCTGGGCATCCTGAGAATGCCCACAGGGCTTGTCAGCCCAGTTCAGGTCAAGTGTCACTTGTGTGCACATCTCGTGAAACCAGAGCTAAGAGTGGCCAATACTCTAGTCGCAGTACAACTTCTTAGTGCAGGCGATTTTGATTACTAGTTTTTTTCTTTCTGTTCTGGTTATTTCTGTTCTTATTTTAATATTTGGTCACCTAATTTTTTGCTCTCCACTGCTCAGTAATCTACGCTTGAGACCGTCTTTGGTTGGCAAGGATAACATGAAGACCGTTATCATGTTTATATTGTATGCATACAAAAAACATGTAAAGTTATAAAAACTTGCACGTAAACATTAGTAATATTACCAATGTAATTAGTTATCTTGCTTGAAGTAGGCTGTAATTTGTTTTAATTAAAAATATTTTTATTGTCAGGGTGCCAGGGGGGCTCAGTCAGTTGAGCGCCCAACTCTTGGTTTTGGCTCAGGTCATGATCTCACGATTCGTGAATTTGACCCCTGTGTTGGGTTCTGTGCTGACGGTGCGAAGCCTGCTTGGGATTCTCTCTCTCTGCCCTTTCCCTCCTTTTGCTCTGTCTGTCTCTCTCTCTCAAAATAAAAAAAAAAATTTATTGTAAAATACATCTAACATAAAAATGCCATCTTCACCATTTTTCTAAGTATACCATCCAGGGCATTAGTACATGGACACTGTTATGTAATCCTCACCACCATCTGTGTGCTTCCTGTAATTGCCCTTTTCCTCCTCTGTATCTGTGATCTCTTCCATCAGTGAGGATACTTTGCCTGGCTGCTTTTGCTTCGAGATGGGTGAAACCGTGATTTTTTTTTTTTTTTTTTTTTTTTTTTTTTTTTTTTTTTTTTTTTTTTTTTTGCCTCTGCTCTCCCTGCACTCCCCTCCCCACTGGACAAGGGAGATTTTGCAATGTCTGGGTACATTTTAGGCTGTCACGACTGAGGAGGAAGGTCTGCTCCTGGCATCCAGCAGGTAGAGGACAGGTTTGCTGCTAAGCATCCTGTGCACAGGGTGGCCAGCACCCACCCCACTCCACCCCACCCCCTGTCCTAGGTAAAGATGGTGGAGGTTGAGGAATTCTGGATTTAACCCATGCAGGACGGCCTGGATTGTTCATGGCTGAGAGACCCCAAGTCAAAAGCCATATTGAGATTCCAGGATTCTAACAGTGTGTCAGCTGTGTTTCCTGCAATAAATTGAAATTGAAAGATTAACTTGGACTCCATATTTAAAAATTTTTTTTTTAATGTTTATTTTTGAGAGAGTGTGAGCAGGGAAGGGGCAGAGAGAGGAGACACAGAATAGGAAGCAGATTCCAGGCTCTGAGCTGTCAGCACAGAGCCCAACTCAGGGCTCAAACCCGCAAACCGTGAGATCATGACCTGAGCCAAAGTAAGACATTTAACTGAGCCACCCAGGCACCCCTAAAATTCAAACTTCTTAATTCTGTTTTTGTTTATGGCCATTTTCTTAATTACTTGTATCATTCACTATTAAAAACAACCGAGCAATTATATGCGAGGGCTTGTTATACATCTGTGCATCTGTGGAAATTTGTCCTGCTTGTAATGAATGTAATACATGAAGTGTTATCAGGATGAGAATATAAAAAGGTCAAGGCCAGGAATCTTTAGAAATTTGGTGAGATACTTGACTCTACCCCCATGGCACTCTTTTAGACACTCCCCCCAAATCCACACTCTTCTTGAAACCCTTTTGGGCAGCTACTTGGGAGTTTCTTGTTGACTTCACAAAGCAGGAATATTTGCCATGGTAGAGACCTACCTAAATGCTCCACCATGGTTCTCTACCCCCTTTGTCCCCTAGTTGGGTACCATTGCCACTAGAGGATGATGTGTGTAGCTCTTGTGTTAACACCAACCTCTTGCCAGCTGGTAACCCTGTTTTTACTAGCTTATCTTTTGTCTGGATGTCTTAGCTGTATGGGTAGAGTAGGAGCAAGAAGTTGCCTTTATCTACCATACGTGCTTCTTATTAGCTCCAGGTCTTTGTGTTGGGAGCTGTCATTCAAAGATATTTTTATGGTTATACTCTATTTATATGGTTCTGTGTAATGTAACATGGATATGAATTGGTATGAGAGAGGTCATGAAACAAAATCAGACATTCAGCTAAGTATTCTAAAACCATAGAGTATAGAGCAATCTGGACCAATGCTTTCCAAAGGATGACTGTGCTATAGTAGAATGTTGTCTGTCTGTACTGTCTAGTGTGGTGGTCACTGGCCACATGTGTCTGTTGAGCCCTTGAAATATGACTAGTGTGGCTGAGACACTGAGAAATTTTAACTGTACTTAATCTCAACAAATGTAATTTCCATATGCTACCTTAGTGGAAAGTGCAGATATGGACTTAATCCCCTAACTACTTCCTCTGTATTCTCAAGTTTTGGTTAGTCCCAATATGCTAGGTAGGGACGGATGAGAGATGCCCCTCTCTTCCTAGTCTCAAGGGGAAGGTTGAGATTCATTCCAGGTGGGTGACAGAGAATTCAATATTATGAGTTCACATCAAACCTCTTCCTCACCTCCAAAGGCCTTGTTACATAGTGAAGTCTTCTATGCCAGAAAGTGTTCATGGTCCCTGATCACATCCTAAATGCTTAGATTTCAAGTAAAACCACATTAGCTGTAAATGTTCGATACTAACATCAGTGTTGGAATCAAAATCCTATTTTAAAAAAATCTTAAGGGGCGCCTGGGTGGCGCAGTCGGTTAAGCGTCCGACTTCAGCCAGGTCACGATCTTGCCGTCCACGAGTTGGAGCCCCGCGTCAGGCTCTGGGCTGATGGCTCAGAGCCTGGAGCCTGTTTCCGATTCTGTGTCTCCCTCTCTCTCTACCCCTCCCCCGTTCATGCTCTGTCTCTCTCTGTCGCAAAAATAAATAAACGTTGGAAAAAAAAAATTAAAAAAAAAAAAAATCTTAAGTTACTCATTCCCTGCTTCCCTCTGGACAAACACACCACAAAATCATCCTTGAATCATGAGTTTGCCCCTCTTACATCTTGGTGACTGCTCTGGACATTTTTACTTCTCTATTTCACTATAACCAGAGCCACTGGCTTATTTGTGGACCATATTTTCACAAAATTGCATATGCCTTTCCCTCCGCAGTTGGGGGAGATTTTTTGAGGGAAAGATTTATGTGAGGAAATATGGAGGAAATGCCAGCATTTCTGTCTCAGGGTTTAAAGACTCTGAGCTCAGGCCCCGGCTTTCTAATCTGAGAAATGAGGGGTTGACCTAGGTGAGCTTTGTGGTTCTGCACTTGGCTACGTCCTGTGCCAGTGGTAGGGGGGTGGTGTGGAGAGCCACACAGGACATGCAGAGTGAACGTGCTCCTTTCTCTGGGGGCGGGGAACATGAATCTCCATGGGGAAGTCTTCAGAAAGACTCAGAGTGGGAGGGTCGGGTTAGGGTCCCAGTGATACCAGTAACTCAGCCAGAGATGAAGGGGACCATCACCTCTAGAACTTAAAATCTCAACATGTTCTGTTTCCCCCTGTTGCCCACCTTTTGGAAATTTTGTGTCCTGTTCAGGATAGCTAGTTTACTGGTCTCCTGTATGGAGTCACCTTTGCACGAAAAAGAGAATGGCCTTGATTAACACACAACCCCCCCAACAAGAACCTGTACAAGGAAAACCTTGCTTACATGGGTAACTGTTGATAATTTGTGGGGATGTCATTCTATAAAGTTTGCAATAAAAGGAATCCTAGATTTCATTCTGTAACATGCCTCTTTGTAAATTCAGCAGAATGCTGTGGGGAGCTGCTTGTCTTTACAGGTATATGTCATGTTTTACCTTCCTGTCTCTAGATTGTGGATATCTTTGCTCATTTGTAAGATGGTCTTTGGAGGCCAAGGAAGAGTCTATTCATAAAAGTTTCAGACTCGTGTGGCTAGCTGTCTTCCAAAAAGGTCCATCAATCTGAACCCACAAACAACCCACCTGTTGGGCCACATCCTTCATATTTAAGGTCTTGGCAGTTTTTACACCTTTGCTTATGTGATATAATGCTAATAATCTATTATTTGCATCTGTTTGGTTAATGTCACTGAATAGCTTTTCATGTTCCTTTTGTACTTTTTGTGGCTCGTAGCCTCTGCATTATTTTCTGTTGGGCTGTTGGTATTCTTTTTGGCTTCTTAAAACTTTGGATATTAAGATTAATTCTGTTAGGTAATGCAGAATCTTTGTCCTCTCCTCTGCACATGGTGTGTTTCATGATGGCTTAAAAATTCCATTTATAGTCAAAATAAAAAATTTTGTGACATACTACTGGCTCTTGCATCATCCTTTGAAAGTACTTCCTTCCAAAGCTCTTAAAACTACCTGACTACATCTTCTTACTAGTTTTGTTTTTTATTTTAGTGGCGTTTTTATTTATTTATTATTTTGTATTTTACCTAAACCTTACTTTGGTCTTTGAAGGAATGAGAATAGAACCCTAGCTCTATTTTCTTTTTCCTTAAAAGGCTTTATCTGCTGCTATTAGAGGGGAAATTCATTTTTAACCATTTGCTTCAGCATTCTTCTGAACAAATTTTCCTTCTGTGCTTGTTATTTTGGGATCTGCTATTAGGTTTCATTTACCTGCCTATTTTAGCGTTATTAAACTTGCTGGTTTTAATACACCTTAATATCTGGTTGTGTGTGACCATCTAAAAGTGGGAGAGATGGGAGAGAACATTGATATTTATGTTCTTTTAAAAAAACTGTTCCTCTAGTAAATTGAAGCTATGTCTGTAGACTTTCTTGAAAGGCTTCTATAGAATAGTGGTTCTTAAGATATCTGTAAACTGCCTATTGCAGAACTACTTGTGGATTTTTCAAAATTTCAGATTCCTGGGCCCCACCCCAGAACTCCTAAACATATAAGTAGTGTTTGGGGAAATTGTTTTTACAAGCTCTCAGATGATTTTTAACTACACTATAAGGAATTTAGATAGGACATGATAAACTGTAGCCAAGATTCTCCTATTATGTAGATAGGTGTGTACACGAGTCAGTTTTAAACATAACGTGTCAGAAATCATCTTTGAGTACTCCTGTCCAGCTGCTATGCTAAGGATAGAAGAATAGCACTTTGCATCTGAGACTTCCTGATTATACACACCTATAGATCTCGAGCTCCTATTATGTTAGGTCAAAGTAAAGTTCCTGCCCTAGAGTCGCTTGTTGTCAGGATGTTGAGGAATATGTGTACACCTGGAGGGCATTTATGGAGAGCAGTTTGTTATTAGGCCATCCAAAAAAAAAAGTGAACATGTTGGATGATGGGGCAGAGGAAGGCATCAGCATTAAATGGGGGTGAAGGTTGGCTACATGGGAGACAGAAGCAGTACTCCTGTTGGGACCAGGATTCAAGACTCAGTATCTTTTCTTTGAGAAGCCAGTAGAACATGTCATTAAATCTTGTGCTTCCTGAATCTCTCCTGTCATTCAGTCTTTTATCTTGCTATACTGGGATTCTGTTACCAGCAAATTTTCCTCCTGAGCTGGTCTCTTAGGGCAACATAAGTACTTTGTCGGTTTGCTCATCTTTAAAAGAAGGTTATCTGTCTTCATCATGTATGATCATGTTAGGACCGTGATCCTAGCCAATGTGACAGGATATTGGATACAGGCTAAATGGTTCATAACCCTGCCTTTCTGTGTCTATTACTTGCATTTCTTTAGATTCGGGAATACCCTATTGATGTCCAAAGCAACCAGCTGCCCTTTTTGCGGAATCCAGACATCTTGGTGGGAGAAAATGACCTAACTGCCCTTAGCTATCTACATGAGCCTGCAGTTTTGCATAATTTAAAGGTCCGTTTCCTGGAGTCGAACCACATCTACACTTACTGTGGTAAGTGGCGTACATCTGTTGGCTGCATGTGTTTGAAAGTACTTACAATCTTCAGACTTGATGTGTTAAACTCTAATGGTTAGGAATCCTACTAGCATTCTCCTGAGTACCTCTCAACTGAGACCCTTGAAAGGTTTGCAATCAGTGAATGTGGCTTAATTAGGCTGCCCTACATCTCTGTGGGATGATTGGTGTTAATCACAGCTCAGCCGGGGAGGAAGTGGACCACACGATGTGGCCTGACTTAGGCACAGTCCCAAAGCCTGTAGGACAGCAGTAAGTAGATCCCAGGGTCCTAGCTCAGGAGTCTGCTCTCTCCACTGAGCGCACTCCTGTGAACATGCCTGGCTGGCTTCTGTCCTCTAAGGAAGTCCTGTCTTTGTCTGACTCTCTGCCTTGCCATGTACAGACGTGGTGCGTGATGAATTTGTCAAATCCATGAGCAGAAAACATGGAAATACTTTACAATAAAATGTCCTCAAAATTCTCCTGTTTGGTTTTCTTGAAACTTCTCAATTTCCCACATTCCAGTTTTTTTCTTTTTTGAATATTAAGTGGTATGGTAAGATCTAGATCCCTAGAAACCATTATCTGTGGGGCAAATCATTTTAGGATCTGGTTGAGGAGTCAGGCCACGGGTTTCTTTGTGGGGGTCGTCCCAGCTGTGCCTCAGAGCCGTGGTCTTGTCATGATCACAAGTGAGGCCTTAGGACCAGAGTTCTTCTCACAGTGATAATCCACTTGGGTTTGGAATCGATGGGTTGGCTACTAAGTTCCAGTGAGCTTTCCTGTCAGACGTCAGTGCGTGAGAAGTAGTTTCCCCAAAACAACTTCAACCCAATTGCTAATGGTGATATTATCTGAAAAAGACCATTAGTATTCAGAGGTTTTAATAAGTTGGGATTTTTTTCCAACAACAACAAAAACCTCCCATTTGAGGAGAAAGGAGTAAACCACCATCAGCTTCAACGTTTAAAGGTATCCCTTCTAGAAGAGGTCCTGGTGTCTGTACACACTTACCCAAATGCCCATTGGCTCCTATAGCATCAGCTGTTGAGAGTGACCAGTGTTGCCCAGAGCTCTGAGTCATCAGGAAACACTTGTTTTCTGCTGTGAAAGTGGCTGAGATATTTTAGGAGAATGTGCGGCCTTAGAGTATAATATCAAAATTTGAATGCTGTGTGAATTAGGGTTTTGTACAACTCTCTAACAATCAGTAGAACATGTAAGGCTGTTTCGAAGAATTCTCCAAGTCATTAGCCTTGGGAATTTATCAGGGTCTGGGGCCTTGGTTTTTGGTCCAGGTGGTCTTTTCGGGCAAACTTCCATTTGAAGACTTGGTGGGTGTCCTTTTCCTCCCTTAGCCTGAAATGTAACAGACAAGATTCTTCCAAGTATTCTCTGGCATTTCTTTCTTTTAAATAGACTTTAGTGTTTAAAGCAACTTCAGGTCACAGCAAAACTGAAGGGAAGATACAGAGATTTCCCATATAATACCCTTTCCCCAACCGTTGATGAACCCACAGTGGCACATCATCACTCAAAGTCCATAGTTTCCACTGGGGTTCACTCTTGGTGGTGTACATAGTGTGGGTTTGGACAAATGTACAAGGACACGTATCCACCATTATGCTATCCTAACTGTAGATTCACTGCCCTAAAATCCCTTATGATCTGCCTCTGCATCCCTCCCCACCCCACCCCCTCTGCTGCCCCGTCCCTGGCAACCCCTGATGTTTTATACTGCCTCTATCATTTTTCCTTTTATAGAATATCATGGGGTTGGAATCCCCATATGTGGCTGTATACACATTGGCTTCTTCCACCTAGTAACCCTCTAAGTTTCATCCATGTCTTTTCATACTTGGATAAATCACTTTTTATAGCACTTACAGTCCATGGTCTGGATGTTTCGCATTTGATTCACTTATTGAAGAACATCTTAGTTGCTTCTAAGTTTTGTCAATTGTCAAAGCTGCCACAAGCATCCACCTGCCAGGTGGTGGTGTGGATATGTTGTCAACTCCTTTGGATAAATACCTAGGAGTGTCAATGCTGTATCCTACGGTAAGATTGTTTTGTGTAAGAGACTGCCAAAGTGGCTGTGCCATTTTGCGTTGGACAGCAACAAAGAGTTTCCACTTCTCCACAGCCTCACATCCAAGTTAGTTGGCATATAGTACAATGATTTCAGGAGTAGATTCCTTAATGCCCCTTACCCGTTTAGCCCACCCCCGTATGAGTGAAGCCCTATGATATTTGTCTTTGACTAATTTCACTTAGCATAATACTCTCGTTCCATCCACATAGTTGCAAATAGCAAGATTTCATTCTTTTTGATTGCCGAGTAATATATACCACATTGTGTATGTATGTATATATGTATACACACACACACCCCACATCTTCTGGATCTCCTTTGCACTGCTGGTGGGAATGCAAACTGGTGCAGCCACTCTGGAAAGCGGTATGGAGGTTCCTCAACTGTTTCTATGTATTTTGGGTACTAGTCCTTTATCAGTTATGTTTTTTTGCAAATATTTTTCTCATTCTCTGGTTTGTCTTCTCATTTTCTTGTGTCCCTTTTCAAACACCAAAGGGAGACACAATGGTGGAGATCTCCCACTTGGCAATGACTTTTCCATTCCTGTTTTCTCTTCCCCACATGCCTGGAAAAGCTCAAATATTTTGTACCCTTGTCAGTGATTCTTGCAAGATCCAGAATGTGCTCTTTTGGGAAAGACAAAGGCATGCATTTCTCTCTTGAAGATAATAATTTTTTTCTTTTTACATTCTCAAATATTATGTGCCCTTCCATAAAAGATCTGGAACGTTAGGTGATTTGCTGACTCTTCATGCAGTGTGTATTTATTGAGTCCATCATTGTGATGTATGGTTCTGGGGATGCAAATTTTTTTTTAAAAAGTAAAAGGAAAGATAATACATGATATAATGTGATGTGAGCTAATAAAAATCTAACACACAGTGCTTACTATGCAAGATGCTGGTCTAAGTTCTGTATTAATCATTGTCCTCAGGACAATCAAGTAAAGGTAATTGCTGTTCCCAATTTTATAGTCCAGGCAACTGAGGCACTTAGAGTTAAGTAATTTGCCAGAATAACTCAGTTAATAACTGGCTAAGATAAGATTTGACCTTAAGATATGTAAATCATGTTACACGCCCACAATTTGTATTTAGGTAAGATAACCCATACACAAATGAAAATTTGTTCATTTCCTAGATTTCAATTCAGAGATGGCTTATATTTATATTTATTTTTATATTATTTTAATTATAATATGAAATTTATTGTCAAATTGGTTTCCATACAACACCCAGTGCTCATCCCAACAGGTGCCCTCCTCAATGCCCATCACCCACTTTCCCCTCTCCCCCAACCCCCGTCAACCCTCAGCTTGTTCTCAGTTTTTAAGACCGAGATGGCTTTTAAAGCCTAACACCTGTTGGGGCACCTGGGTGTCTCAGTGGGTTAAGCGTCTGACTTTGGCTCAGGTCATGATTCCACGGTTTGTGGATTTGAGCCCTGTGCCAGGCTCTGTGCTGACAGCTCGGAGCCTGCTTCGGATTCTGTGTCCCCCTCTCTCTCAGCCCCTCTGCTGCTTGCACTCTCTCTCTCTCTCAAAAATAACATTAAAAAAAATTAAAAAATAAAGCCTAACACCTGTTGACAGAATTAAGCATCCTCTTCTCTCTGGTTGTGCAACATTTTTATGTATTTCAGGAATTTGAGCAGTGGTGTACGTGTGTACATGGACCTGTGTTTATTCCATGCACTAGGGCATGTGGAAGCCCAGCTTTCTTTTCTCCAACAGGATTTGGCACAGTACCTGGACAACACAGATACGTCTTGATTTGGTTGAGTGATTGGTTGTGATTCATTTCATTTTTCATGTTTTAGTTTGATGGATATGAACAAGGGCCTTTGAAAGTGGATGTCAGGTGGCTGTATTGCTATCAGAATCTGACTACATTGTCTCTTTGCAGGTATCGTGCTTGTTGCCATTAATCCTTATGAACAGTTGCCAATCTATGGTCAAGATGTCATCTATGCCTACAGTGGCCAAAACATGGGGGACATGGACCCCCACATCTTTGCTGTGGCAGAAGAAGCCTACAAGCAGATGGCCAGGTAAGAATGACCTCAGCCTGGGAGTCCTTCTGGGTAATCCTTCTGGTAGAAGTTTCTGCCTTCCTTGACTGCTTTTGCCTAGCAATCAGTTGGTGATCCTGGGATTGAGTAAAAGTACTGGAAACCGCACCAGCCCAGGTTCTATTTCTTAGTGCATTTCCTCATGTCTTCAGCATCTTCTTGGGAACCTGAACCTATTCTTGAACAGTGGCTCCCAAGACCTTGTTCATTTCCTGAGCAATGAAATAAATGGATGCCTTAGATTTCATGTCTCCTTGGCTTCCTTTTGGCACTCTTTCCTCCCCTCTGGTGTCACAAATTCATTTTCTAGCATCACCCTTCATTTTGCAGATTCCACTGCAGATTCCCTTTGAAGGAACCAGGATTCTTGGACAACTTCTTTAATTTTTTTTTTTTCCAACGTTTATTTATTTTTGGGACAGAGACAGAGCATGAACGGGGGAGGGGCAGAGAGAGAGGGAGACACAGAATCAGAAACAGGCTCCAGGCTCTGAGCCATCAGCCCAGAGCCCGACGCGGGGCTCGAACTCCCGGACCGTGAGATTGTGACCTGGTTGAAGTCGGACGCTTAACCGACTGCGCCACCCAGGCGCCCCTTGGACAACTTCTTAATATACCAAGCATTTAGATAGGAATTTCAAAGTAGTCGTTATGTGTAGTAGGTTGGGTGGTTTTTTTGTTTTCTTTTTTTTAGATTTTGGTGTTAGAGTTTCTCTTTAGACACTGAAGTAAATCTCTGTATTGCTCTTTTTTAGCTCTGAAAGATGGGTACTGGTCTGTTTCATTGGAAAATGGGCTAGGTGATTGTACTAAGGTTCTACAGGTAAATGGAACAAGTAAACCAGGGATGAGAAAGAGTGAGAGAGAGAGAGAGAGAGAGAGAGAGTGTGTGTGTGTGTGTGTGTGTAAGGAATGGCCTCATGTAATTGTGGAGGCTTGGCAAATCCAAAATCCACAGGAGAGGTTAATAGGCTGGAACCCATGGAAGAATTGATGTGTTTGAAGTCTGAAGGCAGTCTGCTGTCATAATTCTGTCTTGGAGGAAGGCCTTCATCTGATCGGTTGAGGCCCACCCACATTATGAAGGGTAATGGTAAACAAAAAAATCTGATTTGAAATGTTAATCTCATCTAAAAAATATCTTCACTAGCACCATCTTGACCAGTGTTTGACCAAATGTCTAGGTACTCTGGCCTAGCCAAGTTGACAACTAAAACTAATCACCACATTGATGGTCTTAAGCTATTCAGGCATAAGGTAGGGAAAAAAAGTTTCACCAAAGTTTTGGTGGAAATGCATATTCCTGTTCACACTAACATGCTCGATCTTGTCAGCCATCTTTCTTGCCATTTCTACAGAACACCTTATGGAGCTAGCAGCAAATGTAGGAAAGTCCTTTGTGGGGAGTTAGAAGGAGAATCCCGTTTAAGATGGTCTGTGCTTCAGTGGATCTCAGAGTATAATTGTCAGCCTGATTAACTTTTCTAAGAAAGAAGGCCACTTTTATAAGCTTGTTTATAGATTTAGTGTGGTATTGCTGATTGTAGAGCTCTGTATATAAAAAGTTCTTCCTTCTAGATCTATACTATGTTCAAAATAAGCAGTGATGGGAGAACTGAGCAATTGAACAAACAGAATGATCCGTAACCATTTTATTTCTCCTAAATGTAGTAGGAGAGTCGGGGGGGGGGGGCGGGGGGACGCTAAAATGGTCTCAACCTTTGATCTCTTTAATGCCATAAGAAAGACCACATACTGTATAAATCTACTTCGGGGCTTGGCCAGAAATCACTTACCTTGATAACTTATGCAAACCTAACAAAGTGTGGTTCAAGGCCATGCCATGTGGAGAAAAGAATGGGTTTTAATGTGTTTTAGTACATAGCCCCATTCATATATTACTGTGGGAGGTCAAGTGTGTGGCACAGTGGAGAGAGATCTGGGGTCTGGACAGGCTTCCATGCCTTGGGAGAATCACTTAAGCTGAATCTTAAACTATCTTTCTCCTTTGAAGGGTGGTTTCTTTATGGTTATAAAACAGAAGGTGGGTGTGGGTTACTTGTGACTTCCTACCATGCTAAAAGTTCTAGTAGCTCTTTGACGTCTCTTTGGATGGATGTCACTGATAATTATTTTTCGTTTCATTCTCCTCTTTTACCCAGTTGTGCTTAGATGTACCAGAAGTTGTTCTTTACCAAAGACTTCTTGAGGTGCCCCCAGTAGCTTTTGGAATTTCCTGGCCTCCAGCTTTATCCACACCATAGATCCTCTTGCCTAGATGCCTCCCTTCTTCCTTTCCATGCTTGAAGCTGGGTTCATGGTTCTTCTACAGTCGGGTTATTTCATTTGTTTGGGTCCTTGTTCACATCCATTAGAAGGGGATGTGGTTGTACAGGGTGGTGTATAGATGGGTTATAAATTTGGCAATTAAGGGGCTTGGAGGTTAAAGTTGAATGAGGAATTGCTTCCTTAAGGGTTTTATTTTAAGGTTTATACTCCTTGTACTCTGAGTCCTAGGGTGCAGCCAAGTAATTTTACTGAAATTCTTACGCAATTTTTGCTCATGAACTTAGACTAGAAGTAGAAGGACCAGCACGTGTGGCCATAGAGAGCTATTGTTGAATTTGGTGGGGTCAGTGACTTAGCGTTTCTGTTACTGATCTGAGAGATGCACTGGAGGCCCCTGGAGAATCTTTGCTGTGCAGGGAAAGAGGAGACCCATTGGTCAGATGCAGGGGAGGGAAGGGAAGGTTGTTGCTATACTTGCAGTATAGATCTGCTCTGTTAATTCTAGATGCTAGAACATATTTAACAATACCTGCCAACTGTGTTGTGCCCTTCCTGACGCATCAGTTATAGTTGAAATAACCGTTAATTCAACGGTGTGGCTTTGAATCTGAGCCTCTGTAACAGCTGAGCAAAATGAAGGGTGTAAGAAACCAAAGTTAATCACTTCACCCAGCATTACGCTGAGTTTGTGACTTAGTTCGCCTTGGATTCAGCAATTCTTTCTCGTGATTCACTGAGGATTTGATTTTTCTTTCTTGATATGGCTCACGTCAGGGACTCTCCAACTCTTGATGTGTTCTGAGTGGGTCAGGGAGCCTGTCACAGCTCAAAGGGATAAATACAGACCATCATCCCCATCCTGAGAGCTCCCACGGAGTCCTGTGCTGGAGGAAAGGAGGTGGAGGAGGAGACACAAGGACAGCCAACAATTGGTCACTGTCCCCATCTCTGTTGAATTCATTAAGGCTGGACTTGGGAGTAAATGGAGATTTGAAATGAAGTAGAAGAAGAATCGTACGAAACCTCACATTCGTGAGTTCTGGCCTCTGCATGAGAACCTATAGTTCCTGTGAGACGGGGTGGGGGGGCCGACCTCCACTGGTTAGTACTGCTCCTTTCTCCCACTCAAAGATCCAGAATGCCTGCTCTTCCAGTTTGACCTTTCTCAGCCTCAGCTCCTGCATTAGATTGTATCTGCAGACATTGGTGTGGTATGCATCATTTGCTGGGTTCCTTACTGAATGAACACTGAAAAATGTAAGAACTTTCCTTCAACTCTGCAGAGCACACAGTCTGGTTAGAGAAGATGTAATAGTGGACCAAAAACACCTCTAACAACAGGAAGTGTATATAAAAGCCATGCATGGGGTCATTTGACTTGAGTCTGGAGTCTTGACTGTCACAGATGGTCCAAGAAAACTGCAGCGTTTAAGCTGGATCTTAAAATTTTTTTTTTTTCAACGTTTATTTATTTTGGGGACAGAGAGAGACAGAGCATGAACGGGGGAGGGGCAGAGAGAGAGGGAGACACAGAATCGGAAACAGGCTCCAGGCTCTGAGCCATCAGCCCAGAGCCTGATGCGGCGCTTGAACTCACGGACCGCGAGATCATGACCTGGCTGAAGTCGGACGCTTAACCGACTGCGCCACCCAGGCGCCCCTTAAGCTGGATCTTGAATTGGTGGGATATGTAGTGAGAAGAAGGCCTCTGGGGGGCTAGAATAGGGTGATCGTAATTCCAGAAGTGGGGCATCAAAGGCATGGTCACAAAACCACAGGTACCTGTTGCTTCATACCCCTTGGGATGTGTAATTAAAAAAGCCAAATGACAAATGTTGGAAAGGATGTGGAGGAATTAGAATCTTCATGTGCTCCTTGTGTGAATGTACAGTGTGCAGCTACTTTAGAGAAGTCTGACAGTTTTCAGTGAGTTAAACGCAATTATTGCATGACCCAGCAATTCCACTCTTACGTAATTACACAAGAGAAATGAAAATATGTTCATGTAAAAGCTTATATACAAATGTTCATAATAGCATTACTCATAAATAGCCGAAGGATGAAAACAGTCTATCAGCTGATGAATGGATAAAAAGTGGTACATCCATACAGTGAAATATTATTTGGCTATAAAAAAGAACCAAGTCCTGATACATGCTACCACAGAGATGAACCTTTAAAACCCTGCCTAGTGAAAGCAGCCAGACACAGAAGACCACATATCATATTCCATTTACATAAAATGTTCATCTAGAGAGAAAGCACATTGTTTGCCCTGGGCTTGAGGCTAGAGGTGAAATGGGGGAGCGGTTGCATATCAGTATCTTTTTAGGGAGGGGATAAAAATGTTCTAAAATCGATTGTGGTGATGGATCTATAGTTGAGCAAATTTTCTTAAAACGCTTTGAAATGTATACTTGAAAAGAGTGAATCGGGTGTTCTGTGAATTATCTCAAAAAAAGCTGTTAAAAAACAAAGGTATGGTCATGTACAGTTAGGGGCCAGACTGGAGACTTGTGAAGGCCGGGGTCAACTTTGGGAAGACTGTGTGTGTGCTATTAACAGAGGGATGAAGAGATGGTGAAACAAGTTTGGGAAACCCTGGATTAATCCAGTGAATCCTCTTTAACACAGAGATTCTCAGAGCAGTGATGTTGACGTGCTTTCTGAGTTTTAAGGTGGGGATGCAT